AGAACCACAATGAAAAATTAGGGGGGAAAATAGTCAACCAATCTTCTGTGAGTCTTAAATAAACAGACGGACTCAATGCAAGTTTTGGATCACATTTTATTTTAACCAAATCATTTTGCCCATTCTTAGCTATGATAAGGCTGCATCCACAGATGCTCTCTTAAGCAATTGTGAGTTTCAAAATGTAATTCACTAGCTAGGGAGGAGCGCTTCATGATGTGGCAGTCCAGAATGTGTCTGATCAATGCTTGTTCTCAATAGCTGTTTTTTAAGCAATTACCATCCAGGATCAGAGCTGTGGTCCATCTAGTCCAGTGCCCTGTCTCTGACAGTGGCCAGCAGCAGATGCTTCAAGAGGCAGGTGTAAAATCCACCCCCCATAAACATCTTTTACATAAGAACTTACTCTCATGAGCCCGGTTTTCCTGCATCTCAGTAACTGCTGCTACCACCAAGCTTTGCATTTGGAAATTTTTACCTCGTGTCACTCCTCCCACTGCTCCTTTATTCCAAGCACCCTGTCCTGAGCAGCGGGGTGCTTGCTGATAAGTATGGTAGGTGCTTTTCAAAGGCTACTTCGGGAAAACTGTCATCACAGCTTCACTCCAGACTTGTTTTAACAAGCTCTTACTTTATTAACTACAAGTAAACCCGTGAACGAACTCCGCTGCTGTTTATCTAGAGCAGTGGTTCTCAAACGTATATGATCGCACCCCCCCCTTGTGTCTGTAGTAGTTTATGCCCTCCCCCTCCCGCCACACAGGTACATATACTGATTAAAAAAACGACATGCAACTCTGAATCAATGCCTTACTGTTTTTAATGTTTTGTCAAATAGCGCCAACGATCCATTGTAGCAAATGGCTTAACATACAGATGGCAACGACTTATAATGCTATGCAAGCTTAACAGAAATCAATCAAAATGCACAGAGCCATCTAGAGTCAAATGCACAGTGCCATCTGAGGATCTGATAGGGCAGGAGGAATCAGCTTTGCTAGATATTCATAGCTGTGGGTAAAATGTGCACAATAAGGTCTTCCCGCCCCACAGCTTCTCACTCCTTCCCACCCCCCCAGAATATGTTCCTGCCTGCTCCTGCTGGGCCCGCCCCCCAGTTTGAGAACCTCTGATCTAGAGGTGGCCTCTTACCCTCTTAAGCACAGGAAAGTCTTACTACACATCCCCAATTCAGGCTCCCTTCGCTGAAGCTGCTGGATCCTACTGGGCCACAGAGGCCCGTTGGCAGTTCATTGCTCTATGTCAGGCCTTGCCAGGCCTGAAACACTCACTACACCTAACACACTGGTGTCATAATCTGTATCTAAAAGGTGTCTTGCAAGGTATCATATACACAAACCAGTGACACGTTGGTCCCAAAAATCACTATGTGGGGTGCGTACAAAGGGTTGTAACTAGGTGCTAGAATTGTTTGTTTGACAAGCAGTGCATAATCCAGTCTGCCCTAAACAGAGGAATGTGGATTTGCTTGTCTGACCAGCCTGGTCCTCGGGAAGAGACCATGAAGGTATATTTACATATAAAGTAAACAAAGCTCAGAAGCATGGTAGAAGACAGTGTGGCATCTCCACCCCCGCAGGACAGAAAAACTTGTCTGGGCTTACTTTTTGAAGAATACATTTCAAAGGTTGACTGGACTATAAAGAGAGGAGGAAAGAAACTGAGCACTAGGAGTTCTGTGAAGGGTCTTGGCTAAATAAAACTGCTGCCATGCTGCAAGAATAACTGGTGGGAAAGTTTTTTGAACAAAGGACTCTAGTCTGTTAAGTTAGACTGAAGTTTTAGATGCATATTCTTCCTTTTGTTTGTTGGTAACCATTTCTATCTTTAGTCCTTAGCCTGAATATCCTACATTCTTTTATTAATAAACGTACTTTACTTCTACTAGAAACCAGCTCAGAGCTTTGATTTGAAATAGAGTGTTTGTTAACCCCAGTTAAGGCAATAAGCTGCTGTGTAACGTCTCCTTGAAAGAGCAGTGGAGTGGATAAGGTGTTGTAAGAACCCCAACTCCACCCACACCCCATTCTGAATCTTAGGGCTGGTCCACACTAACCCCCCAGTTCGAACTAAGATACGCAACTTCAGCTACGTGAATAACGTAGCTGAAGTCGAAGTACCTTAGTTCGAACTACAAGGTACTTACCAAAGGTCCACACGCGGCAGGCAGGCTCCCCTGTCGACTCCGCCTACTCCTCTCGCGGAGCAGGAGTACCGGCGTCGACGGCGAGCACTTCCGGGATCGATCCCAGAAGATCGATTGCTTACTGCCGAACCCAGAGGTAAGTATAGACGTACCCCTAACTATGCATGTCTCTTCATTACTGGAATCCATTCGGAAAGGAAATTAAGATGCATCTGCCTATCTCTCTATCTGTGCTCTAGGACCTGGGCCTATCTGGTAATCAGTTGTTTTGATAAGAGCTATTTTAGGACAAGTTGCAGAACCCATAAAACATCCAGGCTAGGAAAGGATGAGAGCAAATCTTAGTACTGAAATCAGATTTTCCATTCCCCCACAACTCCACCCCACATATCTGTCACTGCCTGACACTCATCCATCAACTGTGTTAGAGGAATTTCTCCTGGCGTGGAATTAAGTGACAGCCAAATCTCAAACTGTTTGGAGTCAGGGTTCAGGCCATGGGACTGTCTGAATGACCAGATGCTTCTTCCAACCCCAAGACGCTTAAAGTCTGTTGAGAGCAGGGTGTCTGGGGGCACTGCTCTGCAGTATGAAACAAAAAGGCATGAGATTTCTTTATCTGGGATGCTCCTCAGTCTGTAGAGTCAAGAAAATTGAGAGATGACTTGATTACGGAGTATAAGTAACATCACAGGGAGAAAATATGAGGTGCTAAAGGGGTCTTTAACCTAGTAGAGAAAGGCACAGCAAGAACCAATGGCTGGACGTTAAAGAAAGATGAATTAAAATGAGAAATAAGGCATACATTTTACAGTGAAGGTGATTAATCGCTGGAACAAACTCCTAAGGGATGTGGTGGAGTTTCCATTTCTTGATGCCTTCAAATCAAGACTTTCTGGAAGATTTGTGTTAGTCAAACACAATTATTGGGTTGAACACAATTATTGGGTTCAACTGGGTGAGATTCTCTGGCCTGTGGTATCTCTGTGAGTTTTGACAAAAAATGGACATACCTTAAACCAGGGACAGACTCGCCTGCCTGACTTTAAGACCTTGTCTACATGCAAAAGTTGCACTGGGTTAATTAAAATCAGTTTTGAAACTGAATTAGTCAAACCATTACAAAGCCCCAGTTTGAATCCTCTTATCTGGATTTAAAATGGGTCATGTCAGACATGCTTGTGTCTCTATATTTACTGATACAAACAAAACTGATTAAAAAAATTAAAAAACAAAACAAACAACAAAAACCAACCCTACCCAAACAAAATATGCCATTGCACACACAATTCTCCCCCGAGGGAAAGCATGAGAGAGAATGAACCCTAGGTGACAGACATTAGGAACCTCACTTAATACATGAGTGGAGGGTGATCAGGTACTACAGTGAAGTGGCCAGGATAAGAACTTGTACAGGATGGAATAAAGTCCAGGTTTAAATCCATTTAAGAGCATCCACACTTGTTATGTTAAACTGGTGCAAAACCCAGCTTTAGTTAAATGAGAGCAACTTTTTGTGTAAACCAGGCCTACGTGACGCCACGCCCTGGAGATCAAGATAGGCCTCGTTTCCTGCCTGCATAAACAGGTTCTAGCTCTCCTCTATTCTATTCACTGTATCTGCTGCAGCACAGAAAGCCCTGAGATTCTTGGAGTGGGCCTGAGGGATTTCCCCAAAAGTCTGTGGTTAGGCAGAGATGCTCTGGAGCCCAGAAAAGCCCAGGTGAGGGAAGTTGAAGAAAAGCGAATACTCCTGCTCCTATATGAATCCTGTTCCTGTCATTAGGACATTGGACATTAGGAAAAACTTCCTAACTGGCCGGGTGGTTAAGCACTGGAATAAATTGCCTAGGGAGGTTGTGAAATCTCCATCACTGGAAATTTTTAAGAGTATGTTAGACCTGTTAGGGATGGTCTAGATCAGGGGTCTCAAACTCAAATCACCATGAGGGCCACATGAGAACTAGTACATTGGCCCAAGGGCTACATCACTGACACCTTTTCATATAAAGGTACAAAAGCCCCCCCCCCCCATTCCACCCCTTCCATGAGGCCCTGCCCCTACCCCGCCTCTTCCCACCCCTTCCCCGCCCCCATTCCAACCCCTTCCCCAAAAGTCCCCACCCCAACTCCACCCCCTCCCTGCCCCTATTCCAACCCCGTCCCCAAATCCCTGCCCCTGCCCCGCCTCTTCTCTGCCTCCTCCCCTGAGCAGGCGGCTCCCCGCTCCTCCCCCATCCCTCCTGGAAAGCATTAAGCACCACCAAACAGCTGTTTGGCAGCAGGAAGCACCTGGAGGTAGGCAGAGGAGCGGGGATTTGGATGTAGATCTAGTGGCTCAGACTTGTCTCTTTAAAGAATATATGAAATAGTTAAATTTGAGCTCCAAATATTTGGCAGCGTTCAGGGAGTTTCTGGTAGATGGTTATTATTAAATCTGAACCAGGGCAACCCCACATGACAGAGTCACACCCCCTCTAGATTTAAAGGACTATTGCAAAGACCATTTCACTACTGTTAGTGTTTGCAGTTCAGTCATTGCTTCGGGAAAAAACCTGTTGATAGGTCAGGTTATGCTAAATAAGCAAGAGTTCTGTATTGGCCTGAAGCTGTTTGCAATCCACCATTTCCACGCCACACTTTCAAGCAGGGACATTATTGCTACCTTTTAAATCCAAAAAAGGGAACTGATATATTTGCAAACACACAGATACTCAGGATGTGGCTGCTGTTTCCTATCACAAACACGTGACCTGAGTTGGTGGTTGTTTTTCCACACTGCAAAAGAAAGAAATCCAGCAAGCTTAGGTGAAATTGTTGGGTCACTGAAAGGTACAATGATCTTCCTGACAAGCTGGATTCCTGTCCTAACTACGTTTCTGCTTCTCTTATGTAAGTGATCCAATGTATTTCCTTTCCACAGGCTAAATATTTAAGCTATGGGGTGCTGCTGTACTGTTTATTTCTTGATCGTGCTGGTGCTGTTTATTTCTCAGCCAGATTGTGTGTGTGCTGGATTTTAAAGTTTATTTCTGTGCAAAGTGGAAAGGGAATATTTATCGAGGGGGTGGTGTTACTTCGCTGAGCTTTCTAGACAGAGTTTCATAGCCGGAGTGCAGCAGATATATGAGGGATCGGACATGACAAAACAAAAGGCACAGTTCAGTTACATACCTGCTTCTTGGCTGGTGAGATAGCTGATGGCTGCAGAGCGTTCTCCTAGGGATTTCACTTACAGTGTAATTAAAAAGCAATAGTCTATGTGCATTCTGTGTGCAAGCCCCTTTCTTACCTCTCCATACACCTTGCTTAGCAATTCACATGCCCACTTTTGACATGCAGAACATAACGTTTTCTGGGTGTTCTCAGAGCATCTGCCAGGATCAGGCACATTTGCTCTCACAACAGCCCTCTCATGAGACGGGCTAGGATTATCCAGCCCCATTTTACACATGAGGACACTGAGGCACATTGAGGGGACCTGTGAGGAAGAGCCCTACTAAGGGGCAGAGCAGAGCCTGCAGCTCATGCAAAAACACTCAGCCAATATGCAGATTAGTCTCGTTTCTATTGATTTACGGGATTGGGGAGTCATCTGCTGCTACTGGGGGCAGCAGCCCTTGCAGGGGAACACGCCCCAGCCGTCCTTCTCAATGGGAGTAATCACAGGAAACTCATTAGCCTCATACAGCCTCAGAGAGTTACCCCAGTGCAATTTGCAGCAGTCCTACATGTGCACACAGGTCATTCTAGTTCAACTGCCCTCCACACAGCACTGCACTATGACTTGCTCCATTGCAATGGCACCATGCAGCACTGTAAGTCCTTTGGAGAAGATGCAAGGGGCGTTAACAGGGTGTATGTGTGTTACTTGTACTGCTGTAGCCAATGCCACATCTCTCCAGTGCAGATAAAGCTAGGGAGGGGCCCAGATTCCTGTCTCTGGGTATGTGTTAACATATGGCCCATAATGATGAAGAAGGAAGGACTCAGTTTGCCTGGACATCAATAGTGCCTGACTCATGAGCCAACCCATTAGTCTAGCTGTTGTATTCTTGGTGTGCAAATGCCATGGTACCTTGCCCAAATATTTTCCTTTTTCTAATAGCTCAGGAATGATTTCCATCCCCCCTGGATTTCTCTCTCCCCTTCATCTCCATGGATAGTCTATATTTGTCTCCAGAGTTGTCTGCCCACTCAAGGTTTGCTGTTTGCCTTTCCCCGCACCTCTCAATCTTCCAGGCCTCTGCCTCTCTCTCCCCTTCTACCCACTTGCTTTCCCCAGCATTAACAGCATTGACCACATGCCAGTGGTGGCTACTGAGATGCCACGAGGCCATCTGTTGTTTGCTGGAATGCTGTAAAGAATGGGAGGGAGGGAGAGATCTGAAAAGGTAAAGAGGGAAAAGTTCTCAAGGGACTAGAAAACAACAGGAGAAAAGAGGCTGGAGAAAGTGCTGATTGCTGTGAGAGGTGAGGCATCATATTGATACAATTCCCGGCCAGATGATGACGTGGGAACAATTGACATGGTTTATTTTTCACGTTATTGTTCAGCACCGAGATGTGAGGGATGAACTAATGATGTTTCCTCCAGTGCCAGTCCGCACATCACAGTGCACCACAGAGCCCTAGTTTTCTCTGCACCTTGGCCCAGGGACACACGTACACAGTGAAATTCACCAGCAGAGCTGTACACAAGGGGCCATTTCACATTGCAGCAGTTCACAGTGTGGGGGCATTTAGCTATGATTCTGTTCTCTGTATTCTGCCCCTTTATATTTAAGGTCTGCTGGAATGGGGAGAGCACCCACAGTGGAGGTTCTTACAGACAGAGATGCTCTGGTCCCCTCATGGAGACATTACATTTGTTCTTTCTTTCTTTGTTGTTTTCTTTAATCTAAAATGCAATCCATCTAGACTGGAAATGCAGGTCTCACTCTTTGTGCTCATGACATAGTCAAACCTTTTTCTTTTCTTTCAAGTTGGGTGGTTTCACACGAATGTCAGGCTGGATTTCAGGTTTGAACAAGAACGTAGAGCAACACTCAGTTAAAGCTGCTGAGTTAAACTCTCATAAGACAGATTGTGAGCTCTTTGGGGCAGGGACTATCTTTCTATTCTGTTTGTTCTGTGTTGTCCAAGCACAAGGGGCTCCTGATCAATGACGGGCTCCTGGGTACCACCACAATACAAATAAATAAATAATTTGCATTATTGTGCAAATTGCATATTGCACGTGAGTTGGGTAGTGAAGGGAACGGGACCAGGGACTATCAGTTGGCCCAATGCTTGAAAATGTTCCAGTGGTCGCTCAAAACCAGAGATAGTTCTGTAAAGTTGCAAAGTTATGATCAAGATCTATTTCCAAAATTATGGGGGATTCAGATCTGTGAGTTATGTTTGGCACATTATAGAGATGGCGGCCAGTCGTAAAGCTGGATCTGGACTTCTCCAGAATTTGGGGGGTATTCAAAGCTATTCCCTCCATTCTATCCCATTTCTGCTGAGAAGTTGCAAACATTTCAACAAACCAAAGCTGATTTTGTGGGTTGCAACAAACATGCGAGCAATACATGGTTTCAGACGTGGGCTCCATGACACAGCTCTTGTCACGTGGAAGAAAACAACCCGATTGTTTTATATTTAAGTGAAATTAAACTCAGAAGCAAATGGTATTTAAACAGCACCCACTAGCTATTATTAAATCTTAATCAAATCTATATGGAAGCGTATGAATTGAAAGCATCATCCCAATTCCTATGGGCTTCCAGAGGCCTCCGTCCCTCCCTTTTTAAAAAGAAACTAATAATTAAATCTCTATATATTAAACTGACCTACATGAAATATGCCATGTAAAATATGATTCCTGCCATAAAACACATAATCCACCACCAGTTTAATTCCATTAGAAAGCAGACATGAAGGTCTCTGTATTATGATCATTAGGATAATAAAAGTAATACAATATTACTTTTATTATGTTTGAATTTAAAACATTCTTCATATGAGCAGAAAGAATAATTAAGGGGATGGGTAGAAGGAAGGCTTTTTTTATATTTATAATGAAATAAGTTCACATGCTGAAGCAAAGCGAATTAAGTTAGCTCTTTGGTTTCTAAATTAAAATCTAAGTGTTCCACACCCTTTCCTCCCTTAGAGCCTTTCAACATCATTTTAATTTCCTTTTTTGTAACCGGGACACTGGTCATGCAGTGTTGTCCACTCTTGCGGGTTTATCATAGGTGTTTTTCATGAAGCCTCAGCTCCTGGAGTCATGTGACTACAATAGGAAAACAAATAATTTTTTAAAAATAAGTTTACAGCCCTCCTGACTGCAGAATAAAGTTTTAAAATTTAAACACTGAGGGCTCGAAAAGAATCTGACATTTATATGACGTAAAATCTCATGATTTTTAAAGCCAATCTCAAGATTTTCCGAAACCTTAATATGCAGGGCTAGATTTGTTCCAGCATAAATCCATTGTCAATCACTGAGATTAATCCAGGCCTCCAGGTCTGGAGCCCTTTCTCTGTTATTAGCATCTCGGTAAAGGAGACAAGAGCTTGCACCCTTCGCAAAACACAGTGAGGAGGAATGATTCCTTACGTGCACTTTTTAAAATCTGCATAAAAATCCCATCTCAGTGTCTGTGTGCCGGATGCCGTCAGGTGCCACTGCTGTCATTCTGAGCAGCGCTAGTTGGAAATGTTCTAGCAAAAATGGCCTTTTTTCCTAAACCAAAGTTTTTGCAGAAAATTTTCATTTCATTAGAAATTTTCAATGAAAGACCAAAATCTGGAGGGGCAGGGGGAAATTGTGAACTTTTTTTTTAGTGGGAAATGTTAATTTTTTTCCCCTTTGAAATTGTCCATGCAAAACAGTGGATATTTTCTGTTTTGCAAAAGCTGATAGCTCAGAACGTAGGCCGCACATGGCTTTGTGGGAAAGGATGGAGCTTGGCAAGTGGCCCTATGATGAAGTGGGAGGTTGGAGCTGAGGGTTCTGAAAAGTTCCCTCTCGCACCATCACGTTTTCCCTCGTGAGACAATGTCCCAGAGGAGACCCCTCTGTTAGCAATCTCATGCTGAAGTCTGGAGTCATGGTTTAGGCAGGACTGGAGCAGATGTTTTGCCTGGGAAGGTTTGCCATTGGTGGATCTGCCTTTCCCAAGATGTTTTAATAGTCATCAGATTTGGAATCTCTCTTTTGTTTCCAGTGGGAATGACGACATTTCAGACTTGTCTCCCATGCGTGTAGCCTACAGACTTGTAGAATGGAAAGGCTGATGCCAGTTCCTCAAGGATGTCCCCATTAAATATCATTCTGATAATGCATCTCTGCTCTACAAGGCCTTAGATCCATTTATAAGCCCTATGTACGGCTATTAATTGATCACATGCTTATATGTTGTATCCTAGCATGATTCGTTCCAGCTGTATTTATCAGGTAAGTACAGTCACTAGCAGGATACAATACATTCTCCTATATATACTGACAGGTCAAATCACTTTTATTTCAGATTTCTGGAGAGCAAAGGTCTCTGCCTCTGGAACATCCGAGGAGGAGGCAATAGGTGAGTCCATCTCAGGATGTTACCGTCTGTACAGGGGTGGGAGCCAGGAACTAAGAAAATGCAGTAACAGCAACAACTATATTTCAAGGATTTTAGACTTTTTGTTTTAATTAGAGCAACGGGAATGCAGACTGGAACCCCAAAGACTATGAACAGGGGCAATATACAGTCTGTGAACCTGATCTTTAAACAGAATAGAACCAGTATGTGCTTCGTAAAAAGAACAGGAGTACTTGTGGCACCTTAGAGACTAACAAATTTATTAGAGCATAAGCTTTCGTGGGCTACAACCCACTTCTTCGGATGCACTTATGTGCTTCGTAAGTCACATCTAAAAATGCTTCTCTCTCCCTTCAGCAAAAATTCTAATAGCAGAGTTGTTGAGTTGGGGGCTCACGGCTCCAAGCCTTCCTGACTTTTACAAAGCCACTTACTAGTATCCCAGGAAATATTATTATAATTAAAACTGAAATACAATTGAGAACAGAAAGACATTATGCACAGTGATGCCATAGCCTGGCTTTTAAAATTACTATTAATATTAATGTAGCAGCTAGGCCCCAAATCAGCTTGATGCCCCATTATGTTATGTGCTGTACAAAATACACAGTTACAGACAGTCCCTGCCCCAAAGACCTTACAATCCAAATAGATAAGGTCACATGGAATGCCAATGGCAGAGTCAGGAACAGCACCGTTGTCTCCTGAAGTACAAGCCACCAGCCTCATCTCTAGCCCACGCGGGCTCTTCTACTGACCCCATGTCTGACTGAAGGTTGTTCATTTACTCACTGATTCACAAAGTTCAGCAACGTGTCATGGGTCCCCCAATCACCAGTTCCAATGAGCACAGTTCTACTGTGGGAGTGGGAGGTGTGAATTAGCACTGCGGGTGTGCGGCTGAGGAGGGTCACTAGCTAGCCCTACACATTCAACTTATTCTAAAGTGGGAGAATTAATGCAGCCGCCATTTGCCAAGAATAAGGCTCAGGTTAATTTTGGAATCTTTGTCCTATGTCCCCTGCACTCCCAAAAGACCAAATATTTTATTATTTAATAATGTGTATTCAGTGATTTATTTTCATTTCTCCTTGCAGACCCCAAGTATGTTATCATAGGAGTTACCCTGGGAGTCTTCCTAGCAATTGGCTTTTTAGCACTAAAGATCTGCATGATCAAAAGGCAATTGATTGACAATGACTTTGTAGGTAAGAGAAACATACTCTTGCTTTCTGACTTAGAGGGAAATTCTTCTCACCCATCAACAGAGCAAATCTAAACTCCATTATTCTGCTCCCTTGGTCAGAGTAGATCTGTGTATAAAAGCAGAGTATCTGCTGGGTGGAGCTGCAAAGGGAATTGTGTTTGAAAAGGGGTGTGAATTTCAGATTTGAAATCCCTGGTATCCATAGACCCCCATGTTTGAATCGTGACATGGTCAACTCAGCTTTCCAAGGAAAAGAAATCACATTCCATATTGTGTAAGCATCTTTTGGAGGAGACTTTTTTTTAAAAGGGCTCTATCTGCTCTGCATGTATATTAAAGATCCCATGGCATGTTAGCTATGAGTAGGGGCCTGCACAAGCATCCTGACCAGAATTTCCACTTCCCCCACTGTACTGATTCCAGCCTTCCTACTCAGAAGGCACTGTCTGATTCCTGTAACTTCCATCAAGGTATATGCCTGGCAAAACTCCCACTGACTTCTAATGAGATCAGGAACAGGACCTTGGCTTGTAAAATGCTGTTGGGTTCTCTGGGATGCCAGTTGATGCAGCTTTTACTGGCTGTATTATTTAGGGCAGAGAAAAGCTCTGTGGTCTGACTTCATAGCTCTTGGGACCCACACTTCCTTTGGTTTCAGACCACACGGCTTCATAGGCCGCCCAGAGTGTTGAGTTCAAACCCAAAATCTTAAAGTGAAACTGAGCTGAAACTGCCCCCTTTCATGTGAATATACAGCACTTTAAAAGAGAGCATAATTTGCCCCACTCACTTCCCTGTGGGGAGATGTTGACCCATTGACTTCCCTGGGGGCAGACTGTGGCTCATTGGCATACATCCTCTGCACAGAGCACCTCTCAACCTGGATTCCAAAACGCTTTACGAACTAAAACACAGAGTAAAGAAAGAGATAATTTCTCCCACTGTTGAAATGCAATCAGCTCTGGTGCAGGACATGATAACAGCGCACAGCAACGCTCCACAGCAGTTGAGAGCAAGGAATAAAGAGGAATACCAAACCCTGCTGCAACTATAGTGAGAGATGGGGCAGCAGAAAATATTTACCCAGATTGAAATTTTTCCAGAATACCAGTTTTAACAGCCCTACTCTTGCAAAAAGACCCGTGGGATTTTTAAGAAGTACAAGATCTCAGAAGCTCAGTTTTACTTGTCAGCACCTCCAATAGCCAGAGCATGGGTTAGAGGGGATTTTTCTTGGAGGTCTTATGTCCCAAGCACTGCAGAGCTGGGTCTCAACCAGTATCCCAGATCCAGATACCCTAGAGCTGAGGGAATCCTTGGAAAAAACCTTCTCAGCCTCATAGTCTGAAAACTTGTGTTGTCTTGAATTACAAAATATTGATTTTTAATACCTTTCCCAAGCCACCTTCTATTAAAAAAAGGCACCTTGAATTGCATTATAGCACAAAATGGAGTCATGATGCAATTTCATGTAACATGATCATGGAAAAACAGATAAAAGGCCCCGCCTCTGATGGAAATGTAATTATTGTGCGGCCCGGGACCCAAGCAGGTACTCTCTTTGATGACATTTCTGTGATTAATTCCACGTGGACATTTACATGCCCAGTAGCAGGCGAAGCACAATTTGTCAGTCATGCAGGGAACTGATGCTAATCTAGCCTCTGTTTAGATGAAGGGAAATTTTAAGCAGGTAGCCAGTTTGTGCCATGAAAACCATGCCACGTATTAAAAAGGAAAATATTGTGAAAGACCTTGGAATGTTCACAGAAAGAAAGAATGAGAGCATGGCTTGGTATTTTCTTGGCCATCCATAGCCTGCATTTGAAAACATTTGCTTCTGTGGTTCGAACACTGTGGTAATCCTCATGCAATCAACAGAAGTAAAGGCTTTGCCAACGTGGCAGCCACCTAAGCCTGTTAGGTCAATAGCACTGCAGGACAAGTAGCTCCAACACCAGTCCCACCACCTACCTCAGTACAGGGGCTTAACGCAAGTGGTTTTCAACCTTTTTTCATTTGCGGACCCCTAAAACATTTTGAATGATGGTGCGGATCCTTTGGAAATCTTAGACACAGTCTGTGGCCCACGCCCCACAGGTTTAAGACCACAGCTGTATGATAATGACAACCTTTTGCGGACTCCTTAGACATAGTCTGTGGTCCCCCAGGGGTCCGCGGACCACAAGTTGAAAACCACTGGTTTAGTGGCATCACCTTCAGAGTGGCAATAGACTGTCTGAAACCACAGGGTCAGATCCTGCTAGGGTCTCACCCCTTTCTTCTAAGGTAGGTAACTTGATTCTATGCTATTTAGTGTAAATATGGGTCTTTTAAAGGAGAACTTAACTCTGTATAGACACTGAAGATTTGCTGTTAAGGGGGGAGGCCTAAATTTCTCTTATTGCTGCTATATAACAGCTTTAAAGAATCATGTCCATTCCTCCTAATTCCCTGATCATCACGTATTTGTTCTCAGAATTGTTTTTCACTGCATTTGGGGCTGATAAACTGTGATATTAGCTCATGCGCAGTCTTGATGAAGCAGAATATCAAATGTTCCAAATTAAAGGGTTCAGAAAGAATTTGGAATTTTATAATATATTATAGTTTATATTGGGCTTGATCCTGCTATCCATTGTGAGACAACAGTCCCTTTGATGTCAGTTCTATCCCTGGTATCTCACATAACCACCTTTTCTTATTGTCCTCTCTTCAGATTCAGACAACAGAGTGGATAAAAGGTAAGGGTCATTGCTGTCAGCAGTTTCTATAGTGTTTTGGCATGCAAAATGTAAAGTTCAAATTCCCCTCTCCCTACATGTATTACTGCTAACAGTGACGGTGCTTTAGATAGAAATATATAAAGGATACAAACCTGCATGTAAGTCACTAAGGGTGAGATTTCCAAAGGCATTTAGTAGAGTTGTGCAGAGAATGGAAATTCCATTTTGCTGAGAATTTTTTCAGTCCGATTAGGAACAAAATCCCAAAATTTCAAAATTCTGCAAAAGAAAAATATATATTAAAAAAAAATCAGAATCTAAATGAATTTTTCCTATGATATTATAATATCTAATATAACACAAAATACTAAAATTCAAACCAAACTTTTGAAAGGAAAAATAAAAATGTTTTGCTTTGAAAATGTTGAAATGTGACTTTCCCCCCTTTTTTTCTCCAAAACAAAATTTCAGCAAAATTGACACAGTTTTGTGAATCATTTTTATTTTAATGGAACTTCATTCAACCACAGAAAATTTTCTGACCAGCTCTATTTAGCCACCTAAATATGCAGATAGATGCCTAGTGGGAATGACATATGAGCCTGAACAGGTTGGGTGCCTGACTGCTATGGAAACAATTGAGAGAGACAAGGTAGGCAAAATACAAGATCGGACAGATTGTTAAGCAGAAGGGGTTCACACATATTGGAGGAGACCACTTACAATGAAGTGAGCAATTAAGGGCTAGCAGGCAGCAGGATGTGTTACAAATTGTTGTAATGAGCCATACAACCATAAAACTCTATTAAGTCCACGGTTTTGAGTGTCCAGCAGAGTTATGAATTGAAGCTCCCAGGCTCATCTTGTGAAGATGTTGTGCAGGTTTCCTTTGAGGATGAGAACTGAGAGGTCAGCTATGGAGTGGTTGCTTTGTGAGAAGTGATCACCCACAGGTGATAAGGGTGTTTTTGTCTTTTATAATTTTTCTGTGCAAGTTCACTGGAAAGCATAGTGATTGTCTGGTTTCATCCACATAGTTGTTATTGGGGCATTTAGTGCACTGGATGAGGTACACCAATGTTGTGATAGGCATGTGTAAGATCCACGGATCTTGAAAGAATGTTGTGGGGTGTGGTGATCATCACAGCAATGGAGATATGTCGGCAGGTTTTGCATCTTGTACTGGCAGGGTATGATACTGCCTTGAGTTGGTGTGTCCTGGTCTATGGGGAGCTTGCTTCTGATGATGAACTTTGCAAGACTGGAAGGCCATAAGATTTCTTTTCGGATGCAGTCCCTATTGAGTATGGGAAGAAATTTTAATGATACCCAGTATGGTTTCCAGTGTGTGTGTGAGGGGAAGGGAGGAGCGAGGAGTATGTGGTCAGAGAAGATTTTATTTCCGTATTGAAGCAGATTCTCTTGAGATATTTTGATGGCCTGTTTCATAATGTGATCTATTTCTCTAGTGGAATGTCCTTGTTTGGTGGAACCATTGACAGAGGCGGGATAATAGTCGTGATGGACCCTTGGTCTGACCCAGCATGGCAGTTCCTATGTTCCTTAGAGTGAGTCATAGAGCTAAAGGCCAGAAGGGACAACCAGATCATCTAGTCTGACCTCCTGTCTATCACAAGCCACTAGCACCACCCAGCATCCGTGCACCAAACCCAGCAATAGAATTGAGACCAAAGTATTACAGCCCTCAGAAGACTAGATTCTTTTGTGTGAGAACTTTTAGGCTATAGAATAGGCTCTCAAGGCAAATTGTGGAAGCTCCATTGCCTGGGACAATTAAAACCGGACTGGACAAAAACCCATGAAAACAGAAGATTTGATTCTCTGCTTTGTGGAGCCAGTTAAGGCTTCCTGATTCGGTGTCAGCTCAGCTCCAGTATCTGCTAGAGCAACTTAGGAGTTGCTGTAACTTATGCCAGGGTAGAATCAGAAGAGTGGAGCTCCACTAGCCCCCAGACTGCCCCCTACTCTGGGGATGGGGGGGTTGGCTGGCACCAGAGTTGGCTATGCTGGCTTTATGCCAGTAAGGTGTTGCCTTCCACAAGGGGTATTCTCTGCTGACCATTTACAGCTTGAATCCACCCCACAACCATAACAATCCTTCAATGGCTGGGGTAGGCATGACCTGATTGGTGTTTTTTAGTGTTTAGCTGCTGCAGTGCAACGTTATGGACCCAGTCCTGGGAGGCATTGATCTCCTATTGCCTTGAACGGGAGTCAGCGGAACTCAGTACCTCGCCAGAGTGCTCAGCACCTAATCAGTTTATTAAGGATTAACATGACTCAGCCTATCTACCCATATTCTGTACCCAACAGCAATTCAGTTATAAGCACTGGCCAAAATACCCACAACAGGATCAAGCCTGGGAGGTGCCGTCCCATCACAGCGTCCTCCAGCGGTAGAGTGACCAGACAGCAAGTGTGAAAAATCGGGACGGGGTGGGGGGTAATGGAGACTATATAAGAAAAAGACCCCAAAACTGGGACTGTCCCTATAAAATCGGGACATCTGGTCTCCCTATCCAGAGGGGTAAGGAAAAGCTCTGACAAAGAGCCCCTAGAAAACCTGGCTGTTTTATACACAAGTGATGTCACTGCCAGTTACTGGACCTTAGCTAAAGCTAGGAGTTTTACGGTGGAATCCTGCCCTCTGGTTTTGTTAAGACAAGATACATGGCTGGGCCCCTTTCTTCTCAAGGTTTCCTTCTTATCTCATTTTGCCATATTCCTTTCTAACTCCTAAACTATACATTTCTTTATAATAAACTAAACAAAACAATTATTTACTGCACCTGGGGCCCAATTAACCATATTTTCTTTATTTCTATTACCTCAACCCAAACCTTAAATCAGATAACACTGGTATTTCCAGGGTCACTACAAGTTTAGCACAAACAATGCCTCTTTCTTGTGATCTCATTCTTTTTGGTCGCATGCTTTAGGCCTATAACTCATGTTAAGATCCAAACTCAACTGAAAACCATAGTTCATCCAGAGCTAATGTGCACCTATGTTCCTTCTTCTGGATAGGAACAAGTGTAGCCGGCCTTTCCTTTGCCACCAGAGAGAGCAGCACACATGTCAGAGATTCAGTGACATAGCCTGACCCCGCCAGAATATGGGACAAAGCCTCTGAACTGCCTGGGAGAATCTTTGTTAATCACTTCTGGGCAAGTAGAGTTCAAAAAGTTATCAACTATCAGAGTTTTCTCAAATTTAATCAAATATTTTCTGTACACACACATGCATGACAGATGGGGGAGTTTCTCCCTGCAGGCTGGAAGGATGCGGCAGGTTCACTTACAAACCGAATGGGTGAGAGTCACACAGCTCAGCTTCCTATCCTGACTGTCCCAGAGTTCAAGGCTGTTGCAATCCAGGCTTTTGTTTCCTCACATTATGGAAGCAGGGTCCGGTCACATTTCCCAGCATTTTGGGATGCGGGAGTTTCAGATCTGGGGTCGGTCACTAACCTAGCTTGCATGTCCAGTTCCCTCAGCTGGAAATGAGGACAATGACCTTGCTCCTTATAAAGTGCTCTGAGACCTACAGGTGAAAAGTGTCATATGAGAGTTAAATAGTGTCACTGAGGCCCTGGCCTGGCTGTGAGGCTGCAAACAAAGAGAGGGAGGCAATTGCGATAATGGTTTTGTCATGACCATTGCCAACTGGATTGAGGCCACCAAACCAGTATCAGATGGTTGCTGCACCATACTACCCAAGCTATATCAGTATGCCATAGCATTTTGCATAATTAATATTCACTCAACTGTATATATTATCCAAAGTGTGCTGAGTGTTGAAGAGGAAATAATTCTGATGGCTAGATACCACTGGGGAAAGCCTGGATTTTAAATGCCAAATGTAAAATCAATTTCACACTTTTCTTCTCTGCCTTCTGCATCAGTCTCACAAAACAAAACAAAAAACCTCTCACAACCTCTTTTCTCCTTATTGGAGCATATCCAAATAATATGAGAGCTCTTTCACTGGAGCTGACAGGTGTGATTTACAGCTCAAGTGCAGTGTGAGTGGCAGGGGGGACTAGCTGCTCTGAGCATGTGCCTAGGGTTTCAGCTGGAACTGTACTCAGGACAGCTGGTCCCTCCTGCTCCATGTTTATTTTTAGCATGCTAGCTCAATCACAGCTAGTACAGGTATGTCTCCTCGAGCTGGAAATGATACCTTCCGGCTCCAGTGCCGACATACCCTAAGAGGAGAGGGGATGGGGAGGGAGCATATGGATTTATCTCCTGCTTTTTATCTGGACTGCCTGCAGGGATCTTTAGTCGCCAGGAAACTGTCCCAGACGGAGTCAATTTTTTCTGGGGTTTGCCCTTTGCACGACGCAGTGTGCAGGTATCTGCTGTAAGTCGAGCAAAGTCTTTAGGACCACGTTAATTCAGGTCTTAATGCCATCCCAGAAGCTTGAAACAATTGGGCACGTCCCAAACACATATGCAAGTGTAGCTCCTCCATCCTCACACCTCCAACATAGATCTTCGGGGGCAGCTTTAATTGTGTAAAGTCTTTGTGGTGACCAATACCCCCTAAAGAGGATATTTTTGTTGAATGAGACATAAAGAGAGGTCCAAGGTCATTTCTTTTTCTGATTGCTGTATTCCCCTATGGGGGTGAGATATTGATTGCCAGTTCTTTGGTCTATTTTGGCCTCATTGCAACTATATGAACTCTTTGATGTGTTATTAGGCTCTCACACAGCATAGCTGCCAATCTGGGGAAATAGTATAGCTCTCTGCAAAACTGGAGGAGTTCAGGCACTTCGGACAGCGCAGGTGCTTCCAGGCCAAATTCTGAGATGACAGATCTGAATGTGTTGCCATACTGCAGTTCTTGGCATGTTGTATTGGGGTTGTGGAGAGGTCAGTGGTGTAATCCGGACTTCAGTTATTAAGTGGGATATATATAGCATGCCACATTCCATCCAGTTTTCCACTTTATCTTCCCCCCAGTTTTTAGCATGGGATTCCCCCAGACTGGGAACTCTATGCAAGAAGAAGGTGGAATTTGGGTGGCATACTAAATTGGCCCATCACTGATGGCCTGTATGAATGGCGGGGATTAGATCATTATAGTATCTACAGTATCCAGGGTCTAATATAGCTGTTTGCGGTAAAAGGAAGGGCAGCTACTTCTTGACACTCACCTGTGTAGGTGTTTTATTTGTGATAGCGTATGCCCATCGCACGGCCCAGTTTATTATAAAGGCATGATGGGACAGCCACAGATTTGGGAATCTAATTGCCCTAGTTCAACTGGTAGCTGAAGTCTCTTAAAGGAAATGTGTGGGTGGTTCCTCATTCTCCACACATTAGTTTTAAGGAGATCACTGATTTTCTGAAAATAGGGTTGGGGTATTTGGTGTGGGAGACCCCTGAGCACATATAGTAATCTGGGTAGTGCGTCCATTTTACCGTGTTTATTTTTCCTCAGAGGTCGAGGACTATAGTTTCCCATTTACTCTGGTCATTGGTGACTTGTGTAATAATCAGGTCTAAACGGATTTGAGTTATTTGCTTTAAATCTCTGAGGATTAGGATTCCTAGATATTTTAATGCCATCGGCTGCCATTGGAAACCTCACTGACTAAGCAAGGCCCTGTATGCCTATTTAGCTAATCCTAACACCTTGGATTGTATATCCATGAGTGGCAGGTGAAGCTTCCCTTGGGGGAGGCTAGTTCCCTGTTCCACCTCTTCATTCCCAGCTCTGCCTGCACTCCACCCCTGCTCCATCCACTCCCTGCTTAGCCCCTCCCCGCCGTCTCTTCCCATGTACCTCCTCACCACCCGCCCGCCCGCTGCTCACCTCCTTACTCCCCTGCCAGACCCCCGTGCCCGCCGCGAGACTCCATGCCCGCCGCTCGCCTCCTCACTCCCCTGCCAGACCGCCCAGCCCACAGCTCGCCTCCTCACTCCCCTGGCCTATTATACCCACCACCCATCTGGACAAGCCCCTGAACCTTTCAATGAAGTCTAATAATTTGGGTATGGGCCTCTGTAGGTTAGGGAGTAGAACCAATGCAGTATCTGCATACAACATAATTTTTTGTTCTATATGCCCAGTCTTAATACTAATTATATCCACACAGCCCTGGCTTGTGCATGCCAACAGGTCCAGGGCTGTGTCGAAGAGCAACCGGGATAACAGGCAACCTGTAATATGAATAGTTCTGAAATTTAGTTACTGGTGATCACCCAGCTGGAGGGGTTAGTGTAGAGCAGTGGTTCTCAACTTTTCCTCATGACTATACTCCTTTCAGGAGGCCGATTTGCCTTGTGTACCCCAAGTTTCACTTCACTTAGAAACTACTTGCTTACAAAATCAGACATAAAAATACAAAAATGTCACAGCACACTATTACTGACAAAGTGCTGACTTTCTCATTTTTCCCATATAATTATGAAATAAATCAATTGGAATATAAATATTGTACTTACATTTCAGTGTGATACTTGGGCCTGTTTTTCACTTGTGAGCCTTGTCTGAAGCCTGAGCCTCAGGCGTCAGGGCTGAAACAGGTAACTTAGCTTCATGGCTATGTTCCCTCTAAGGTGCACACCTGCGCAGCCACGCAGGAGGCCACCAAGGGCTGCACATTTAATTAGCAGAGCCACACAGGTGTGCACACTGCACTCAGGGGCGTGGCCACAGGTGGGCCTAGAAGATGGCAGTGGGGTGAGGTGGGGAATAGGTGGTAGCTGGAGGCAGTGGGGTGAAGTGGGAGTGATGATGGGGATGCTTGGGGTGTGCAGGGCTGCGGCAACTCCCCCAGCCCTGGGGCTGCAGCGCGGCGAGGAGAAACGCCTCTCCCCACCAGCCCTGGGGCTACGCGGGGTGAGACGCCTCTCCCTCCCAGCTCCGGGGCTGCGGTGGGGAGAAACACCTCTCCCTGGCCCTAGCCCCAGAGCGACTGAAAGAGACGCTCTCCCTCAGCCCAGGCGCTGCTGCAGGGAGAGAGTGCTGGGGGGAGTCCTCTCTCCCTGCTGCAGCCCCGGAATAGCTTGCACCCCAAACCCTTCATCCCCGGCCCCACTCCAGAGCCCGCACCCCCAGCTGGAGCCCTCATCCTCCCCTACCCTAACCCTCTGGCCCAGCCCTGAGCCCCCTCCCACACTCTGAACCCCTTGGCCCCACCCTTGCCACACATCACATATGGTGCACATAATAAAATTAATCCGCACATGGATGGGAAAAATTAGAGGGAACATTGCTTCACAGGGCCCCAGTGATGTGGGACCCTGGGCAGTTGCCCTGCTTTCCATCCCCTAATGCCAGCCCTGCACTTGCAACCCCCCTAAACCCATCCTGTGACCTCCTGGGGGCTGCAATCCACAGGTTGAGAAACACTGATCTAGATGAGTTGAGTATCCCCTGGAAGACCTCTGCATATCCCCAGGGGTACGTGTACTCCTGGTTGAGAACCACTGATGTAGAGCAGCTTAATCCAACTGATAAAGTGTCTCCAACTCTGTGTTCAGCCTAATTTTTCTTTTAATTCCAACCCACTACTTCTTATTATGCCTCACACAAAATAATTTCTCTCAATCCCTGGACCATATTCTTAACTGGGGTAAATTAGAATTCCATTAAAGTCCATGGATCTACACCAATTTACACCAGCCAAAGTATTTAGTTCACTTCCACTCCTCCTGAAAGTCAATCATTCCAGCCCCTTGAACTTATTTGTAGAATTCATCTGAATTTCCCACAATATGTCAACATCTTTCGGGTATTATAGTTTCCAGAATCAAGTACCACATCCCTGGTACAGAAGCACTAGATAAGCAGTGAGAGAGACATGCCTTAAAGTGTATGCAGCCCAAAATCACATTGGCAGTTCATTAGGAAGTAACTAACAGCATTTGCCCCTTTATTTACACAGGTACATATCATTATTTAAGCAGTAAATTCATAATGAGATGCCTGTAAACACGATGGGTATGGGATATTTACTAATACTTTGAAAGCCTAAAAGGTTTTAGGCATCATGCTGTCAGTTAACGAAACAGTCATTTCGGTGTCAGCTGACAATTATAAGGTGTCATTTAAAAAAAAAATTAATAGCTCACATCAGTTTCAAATGCCATCTTGGTGTAAGCTTGGTAAATTATAATGCCTAAAATATCATGCAAGTTTAATGCATTAATAAAAATGTCTGGGCACATTTAATGTTGGCAGTATTTTGAGTTAACTACAGTACATGGCAGACAGATTTATTTTGACAGAAAGAGACAAAGAAAGAGACAGACAGAGGCAAGGAGAAGGACAGAGGGACAGATTATTTACATAGAAAGAAAATATACATATTTTAAAACCTTTGCAATAGCCAGCAGAAATTTGTTGACTCAACACATCCTGAGCAACACATACACCGCCCTTCCCCCCATACAGCTCATTGTATCAATCATCAATCACCAATGTAAATCACTCAGTATGAGATCGTATTTTAAATGCAGTGCACAAGTCATTGGGATATTTGAGGAAGGAGGCAAGGAGCTTGGCAGCTGCATAAACCAACTGCCAAGCCCGGCAAGGATTTTTTTTCTTTTCTTTTCTGCTACTAGGAATAGCCTCTGAATGCTATCTGTTTTTCCATCTCGTTTCTTCCAAGGTATCTGCTGCCTTTGCTAGGACCTGTGGCATTGCCAGTAAGGCTGGTGAGATACAGCTTGCTCTTGTGAGTTATGGCTTTGCAGCATGTTTACCGTTCCTTTGACTAACACATGAGCATGTGGAATTAATTTGAGTATGCATCATATACCTACTACTGGATGGGAATCAGAACTGCTCACTTCTGTGTCATAGTCCCTATACCATTAACAGCTAATGGAGATTCTTTGTCCTGTAGGCCAAGTGGTAGAGGATTGTGCTTTTGTGACCATGGAGTGCAGCATATCTGTCTGTTCATTTTAGGCACATGTAATGCACCAAATCCCCTAGTATCCTGTTTCTCCTAACCTAGCATAGTCAGAATGGTTAAGTCCTTGGCTACCACATATTTCTTATAGTACTGTAAATAAAAACAAGCTCCAAGGAAAAGCAAATCCCCCTTGAAATAGATGCAAGAGATAATTCAACAGCAAAAAGCATACCATTCTCTATATAACACTACAACATACACAATTTACTCTATTGCAATGTACATACTCTGTTTATATCCAGGGTGGACAAAGCACCACCTACAGGTCAAATGTGATCCATGGAGTTCTACAAAGTGGCTCATGGTCACCTACATTTCTAACATTGAGGTGCTGTCTCTAGAAGACATGTCCCACAATGCTACCTGCCATCGTAATCCAATTAGCCTCCACTTTAATCAAGATGCCATGTTGGGATCTGTTTTCTCCATGAGTTGAAACTTCCTCTAGCATTTGATTTAATATGGCACAGAAAGATGGTTCTGACTCTTGGCCAGTATCCCACACTCTGTGAAAGACACTGGGCTTTGCAATGCATGCCTTGACTAATATACTGTACAAACTATTCACACACAGCAGTATACATTCCATCTATACCCAAGTGAGGGCTAAAATCTCAGCAGCTATACCATCCATTGAAATCGTATCTGTTTAAGAGGCTGACACATACTATACTGTAAACAAGTTCTCAGAGAAGAGCACTCAGAATAGCTAGATACCAAAAATACACCTAAAGAGGAATTTTCTTTCTCTCAAAGTTCATTCCCGTGGTGTGGGGCGGGTGGTGAATGAGATTTTACACTAGGGTGACCAGACAGCAAATGTGAAAAATGGGGACAGGGGTGGGGGGTAATAGGAGTCTATATAAGATAAAGACCCAAAAATCGGCACTGTCCCTATAAAATCGGGACATCTGGTCACCCTATTTTACACAAAGAGAGCAAGATGGGGCCAGGAATTTGCTGTTGTTTCAACACACACTACAGCCGTTTTGTGGATTTTAACGTTTTCAGCTGAATGTCCTCCTCTCTGTGGAGACTGCCAATGTGAGGGTAATGCCCACTGTGATGGGGACACCTTTCCATAAGGAAATGGATTGAAGTCATTTCACACAGGCCACTGAATAGTCAGCAGCTAGAAACTGCTTACAACCACTATCCACCTCAGCTGCATTTGAAGCAGTGAAATTATGGAGGCATCGGTAGCAACTCCAAAGTTCAGGCTGTGTTGAGATTTCCACTGAAAGCAGGATTTATAATCCCTCCATTTCACAACTGATGAGTGAATTTACTTTCCATGTGTAGCAGATAAATTCTTCAGAGGACAACTGAATTTTTCATCAGATTTTCCATCAGACTCTCTCTCTCTCTCTCTCTCTCACACACACACACACACACACACACACACACACACACACACACACACACACACACACACACACACACACACACACTCATTACATTTGAAAAGTGGCTTATTTCTTAAATATTGAGTTATCCCCTTTATTCCTTTATTTGTCGCTGGCACCATCCCCTTCTCTGGATGGACACCACTCTGCTGAGGGGACCTGACCGCCGGATCCCATGCACTTCTAAGCCCCCTGGGTCTGGTTAGAGCCAGGCCACTGTTCCTAGCTCTGGGTCTTTGGCACACTCCCAGCACCGATGCCATGTCCGCCACCTTTCCTTGGGATATGCCCAGACTCTTGAATTCCCCAAATCAGTGCCCCAGCCTTCCTGAGCCCCCAGTCACTGAGAGCTCTATCTTACTATGAGCGCTCCGAGCTTCTTAACTAACCCCTTCAAGAACAACGTGTCAGGCAAGTAAGGAACACATGTCACTTTTATTTTCAGGAAAGCACAAGAGAGTTACAGATCTTTGCAAAACAACCAACAGTCCCAAGGCACACTTCCCCCGTCCGATCTGACCCCTTCTGTGAGTCAAAATTCTGGTCAGCTTTTCAGGCAGAGTCCCTCTTACTCTCTCTCTCTCTCCCTCCCTCCAGCTGGGCTTCTGACATTTGGTGGAGGACAGCCCCCACATTTTCAGAGAGCATCCCCTCTCTCTGGTGCTGTTTGCCATGTGCCCAGACTTCAAAATTCGGACCCCCCAGGCATGCAAGTCCGACATGAAGGAATCCTGTGTCCCCTGAGGCGGGCCAGTCCTCACGTGTCATTCAAAGTTGATGGCCCTCAGTGGCTCTTTCATCATCCCTTCTTGGCAATGCAGCGTGTGGAACAGACTGACCTTCTCAAGGTCACACTGACAGTCCCACACAGAATGACACGTAGCACTCTAAATGGAAGGCACAAAACCAAATGAAGTTCACAGTTTGGATCAGACATGTCACAATCATCATCTAACTTAATTCCCCACTGGAACTGCCCCGATCAATCAGCTATCGGCCGGCTCTCCTCACACACATCCCTGCCATTCCTGAGAGCAAGGAGGCAGGGGGCAGGCTAGAGTGCAGGCAGACTGGTGTAGGGCTGTGGGAAGGCAGAGAAGATGCTCTGGAGAAGAAATCAAGAGACCACAAGCCCTGCCCTGATTTTCCTGCCCACAGGCACCCTGTGGTTTGCTGCCCCGGCCCTGCGCTCTGAAAATCCACAGGAAGTTCATCAGGTCCCTGATGGCAGGGGTGAGTTAATGGCTGCCGGCCTCCTCCCACCCTACCATTCATTCTCCTCCCTGGCCCCAGCAGCCCTGTTCAGCCCCTTGAGCGCACGTGACTTTCTCACTTCCCCACTGTAACCTCCACATCCTGGCTCACCCCCCATAAGGAACACTTGAAATATTGCTGCTTCACTGCATACCGACTGAGCTACCCTCCCCATTCCAGCCTCAACTCTCCTCCAGCACATCCCACTGCTCGCATGGCTTCCCCACTCTCATGGTTACAGGACTAGCTGCACCTCTGTCCTCTCTAGTCTCACTGAGTGCATCCTCTCAGCTGTCAGGCCTCGTGTCTTTACTCCTCACGCAATTCTCCCACTCTTAGACCGGGCCCTGGGCTACAGCACCCGTGTATCAGCTGTGTTCTGGCACCTGCAGTGCTTCCCTCTATGGGGGTCTGTGACCAGTGGTCTGCTACAGAGGAACCCCAGACTTCTTAAAAACCAGACTAGTAGGAGGTCGAGCCAGAATCCTCAGTGCCAAGGACTCTGCCACTGTTCCTTAACCATCGTCAAGTGTTTGCTGAAGAATGGCTTACCCTGAGCCATTCTTTTGCTTCCTGCTTGTTTCTCCTCACAGCCCCATTAAACTAAACCCCTGTATTCACACAGTAAACATCCCAATAACTAGTGCAACATACAGTATTCATAAGTTATTGCCACACAGCTCCATGTAAGTCAGTGGCTCTCAAACTTTGAGTGCGCCCCCCCCCCCATAAATTAAAAATACTTTAAAATATATTTAACACCATTATAAATGCTGGAGGCAAAGCGGAGTCTGGGGTGGAGGTTGACAGCTTGCGACCCCCCCATGTAGTAACCTCGTGACCCCCTGAGGGGTCCCGACCCCCAGTTTGAGAACCATCGAAGTAAGTCATCCCCTCCCCTCCTGTTGGCCTCCAAAGGGGACGGGTGAGGGACTTGGCTCTGTCAAACCACAGGTTGCCCTGCAGTGAGGAGCTCCGCTCTGCCAAACCATAGGAAGTTGGACAGAGCAATGGTCCCCTCTGATGAGCCATAGGCTGCTCTACAGAAAGGGGCTTCTCTACAGCTTCTCCCCACAAGGCCTTCTCCTGTTCCGCAGGGCCGAAGGGCTGCTTTTCCCCATCAGAAGGTTTGTGAAATACAAAATGTGAATCCCCTGTGGTCTGCTTCAGCTACAAGACTCCCCTTCTGCCTACCCTGTCCCCATACGTTAGCCCCTATCAAGCATAGGGGGCAGGCGAGGAGAAGAGTTACTGCCCATTGAGGCAGAGCATGAGAGCTTGCACTTCTGCTAATGAGGAGACACATTCTGTTTCTGACAAACTTCCTTTGCCCTGCGAGAGGGAAGTCCTGCTCTGATGAGCCTAATTCCGTATTGAGCGCTGGGGGAATTGGAGGGAGGCCATGTGTGGTGGCATAAGTAATTTTCTAATACAGACTCTCTGAACACACATACCAGAAATTAAGCTGAATGCATAATACTCCTTAGCCCAGTCAAGTGCCACATAATGCATGTCACCGTGAAAAAACATATTTAGTAGAAAACTAGAGAACAATCAAAAGGACTTCATATATAAAAAATAAATGTGCAAATGCAGTCAGAAATAACTACCCAACCCATTCACGTATATATATTGCAGAAACAAACAAAAATTAAATATCCCTGCTATACAGAGGCCATGTTGCCTAGTGGCTAGAGAACTGGACTGGGACTCAGGAGAGCTGTATTCTAGTCCTGGTTCTCACTCTGGCCTGCTGAGTGACCTTGGGGGAAAAAATAATCACAGTGCCTCAGTTTCCCAATCTGTAAAATGGGGATATACCACTTAGCTTCTTTGTAAAATGCTTTGACATCTACTGATGAAAAGTACTGTATACGAGATAGGTATTATTATTATTATTTATTTATTACATCACACACTTTAATGAGGACACCAAGATTTTCACTGACCTGGGAAACAGGAGGGATTAAACAGAATTACGACAACAATTCATAGTCAGATCTAGTCGTTCAGGTCATCTGGTCGTATGTTCCTCCAGCACCACCACAGAATGCACTAACTCAGGGGTTCTCAAACTTTTGTACTGGTGACCCCTTTCACATAGCAAGCCTCTGAGTGCGACCCCCCCTTATCAATTAAAAACACTTTTTAATGTATTTAATACCATTATAAATGCTGGAGGCAAAGCGGGGTTTGGGGGGAGGCTGACAGCTCGCGACCCCCCATGTAATAGCCTTGTGACCCCGAGGGGTCCCAACCCCCAGTTTGAGAACCCCTGCACTAATTACTCCTGCACTTTTCCTAATGTCGCCATTGTGTTGCTGCCACCTTTCTTTCTGTGGATGCTAGTACTTCTCCAGCTAACCTCTCCCAGATCCTTTCCAACAGCACAATTCAGACTCTATTCCATCATTGCTGTCAAATGTCTCTCTCTCTCCTCCTACTTTATCCATTACCTCTTATCTGCTCTGGCTCCACATGAGGGAGGACATGATACCACCTCAAAATATATTAGGCCAGATCCTCAGCTGTGTCAGTCAGCATAGTTCTATTGGCTTCACCAAGGAGGATCATTACTAAGCATGCAGCCCATAGTAAGTGGCAGTGCATAGAGGATCCCTGGGAGGCACTGTGCCTCAGAGATGCACAACTCCTTGTGGGGCTCCCTGCTTGTATGGGAGATGGACAAAGTAATTTGTTATACCCCTTTGAAGGATGCAGCATACTTCACTCATGTGGCCAGCCAGTTCCACTGGCTAGCGTGGGTGGGTGGCAGAGCCATGGTTCCACCTAATCTTTGCCTCTCCTTGCACCTTGGGGGAGCATCCGGGCTGCCACTCCTCTGCGCCTTTGGCTGCTGGGGTTGCAGTTGTGTCTGGATCTTACACAGCTGCAAAGGTGAGAAGAATCCTTATTCCTTCCTTCTGCGCTGCACAGCCACGTAAGGGCTATCATGATGTAGCCCTAGATCACTAATCCTGGGATTAGCCCAAACATTTGCTGAGTCAGAAGAAGAAAATACATTTTGTCAAACTGAGAAGAACAAGATGGTCCTGGGGGTAACTGCTTAGAACAGATATCCGAATATGACAAAGACTCTTGGGTACCACTGATTTCAGCAACAGAGCAGGAGCTCTTCACTTCCCTGGAGCTGCCACGGTACAAACATGCCAAATACTTTTCGAGGAACATCCAACCACATGCTCTTAAAAGACACATAAATTTAAAAACAAAACAAAATGAAAAATACTCACGATTTCAACTCCCACACCTGAACACGGCTCATTTTCAGCAAGCCACAGATTCATAGCATCATTGATGTTAAGGCCAGAAGGGGTAATCATCTAGTTTGGACTCCTGCATAAAACATAAAATCCTTACCCCAGGATTCCTGAATCAAGCACATAACTTCTGGGAGAGCTTATACATAGCTTAAGAAAAAGGCACTATTGTTTCAGACTGACTCTGAATAGACTTTTTTAGTTACTTCTCAGCTAATGAGTGCCTGTATATCCTCCTATACTATCCTGTATTGGAGTGACAGCAAGAAAATTGTTACATTCAAATATCCACTACCTAGAGCAGTATAGAAGAAACCATCAACCTCCGACCACCAACCCATTTATTATTGCCCCATTAAAAAACAGGTAGCTCAAATGCATTTTGTATCATTGCAATCATCAAACATCCAGGAAATCACCAGTTAAGACATTAACCTGCACAGCACCTCATTTCACATACTTGATTTGCCAATCATATTACCCCAAGACACAAAGACTCCATCTCCTATAGCAAATGCTTTGTCAAATCTAGAATCACTCATAATGCATACATCCAATTCCTGACAGCCACACTCCTATCCTAACTTGTAACTCAGATGTCATGCTTTCTCTTGTACAAATACTACCATTACTATGTATTTAACTCTGTCCACACTAAATGTGTTGAGGGAGTGCAACACATAGAGTGACCACTGATGTATTCTGTTAGCCAGCGAGAATAATCCCAACATGTTTTATCTTACATGGGGAAATACATCCATTTGCAATATGTCCCATTCTACATTCAGCTGATAGATTTTGGTGCCATAATCAAAAGAAAGTTGTGTTCATTTTTTTAAATGACTATGGTCTTAATCCTGCAAACACTTGGATAGCTTTAATCACATGCTTAGGCTCCATAACTTCAATGGGACTAGCTATGTAAGTAAAGTCAGGCAGGCGTATAACTGTTCGCAAGACCAGGGGCTATGCTTGGTTCATAGAGTCTATTTCAGAGAAAAAAGGCTACTTTAATTTGATTTAGTTTAATTTAATTTATATCACAGGGGTGGCCAAACTTACTGACCCTCCAAGCCACATACGACAATCTTCAGAAGTTTGAGAGCCGGGGTACACCTGCCGGGGCTCAGGGCTTCAGCCCCGCGGGAGGCACCTGCCGGGGCTTGGGGCTTCAGTTACACTAATATGACTGCACGTAGAGTCCTGAGCATTATTCCCAGATCTGCTCTGGACTTTTGTGACGTGGGGCAAGTCACTAATCTCTGTAAAAATGCAAATAATATCTTACGGGTCATTCTGGGCAACTGTGGGGCGTAACTCATGCTTATAAAGCACTTGGATGAAAGGTGCTATAGAAATGCAAAGCATTATGGGCCATATTCTGCCATCATGCTCAAGTTGAGTAGACCCTTGTTCCGTGAATCTCACTGAAATCGAGGGACTGTTTATGGAGTAAATACTAGAAGTGTGGAGTTTGCAAACGGGGCAAATGTAGCCTCCCAGTTCAGTGGCTGCACCATCCCCTTCCCCCCCACACACACTTCTCACCCCCCTGGTAGCTTGAGGCTTCCTGCAGCCCCCTCCATCATTTGGGGGGCCCTCTCAAATGGGGAGCTTGGGGCAAAATACCCTTCTCCCTCCCATTCCCCAGTGGGCAGCCCTGCCTGTGTGAGTGCGCATCCAGGCCTGATTTCTGTGGGCACACTTGCACCCATGGATCCTGGCTAGAGCTGCCACTGGTTTGCATGTAGAAAAAGGACACGAAGGGCCTGATTCGCTTCTCATTCCAGTCTACACTGGTGTAACTAGGATTGCCAACACTGTATTTCAGAAATACTGGACAGTTTTCTTAGCACAACCCTGCTCCTCACCCCCCTTGTTGGCTCTTGTCTGTTCCACTTCATGGTCCTCAGCACCGAGATGAGTCCTTACATGGAGCCCTCCCAGAAGCCTTTGCCTCCCCCTCCCAGGTCCCTACTCTTTACCCCTCCCCGCTGGTGAACCTCAGATCCGTCCCACTTCCCAGAGAGCCAGCACGATTTCGGCAGGTTGAGAACCCGGGCCCAGCACACAGAGCAGGGCCCAGGGTACCGCCCTGGCTGCGCTCCCAGCCACGTGAGACTGGGACATGTGCGGTATTGCTGCCAGACCTTGCATGCGTGCAGCTTATGTTCTGGGTTTTTTTTCACTGGGACCAGTGTTCCCTTAGTGGAGCCCAGAGAAAAAATAGATGGCACATTTTCACCAGCAATCAGCAAGGCTGTACGAAAACGAGCCAGGAGGCAATCCTCGTTGAAATAGGGGATCAAAGGCATCCCGAACTGATTAAATAACATATTGCCTGTCTCGTACTTAAATAAGGGGCAGCTCTTATAATACGGGCCTATGGACAACTCTAGGTAAAACTACTGGCCTCCAGTGGAGTTACTCCCAGTTTACACTGGTGTAGGTGAGAGGAGAATCAGAGTCCTTAAGAAAAAACTGAGACCTAATGAGTTGTATTGAATTTCTCTGCTCTTGCAAAATCTATGTTTCTAAAAAATAGTTTGGCTAAAAATTACTTTGAGGGAGGAAAAAAGGCCTGTGAAAGGCCAACTGCTGAAGAAACATTTCCTGCTTGCCAAGGCTTTTATGAGCTCCTTTTCTGCAGCTGTCTGAATGCTTTAGTCCTGAAGGAAAAGAACTCTGCCGAATTTTAGTTTCCAGGAACTGACACTAGGGGGAGTAAAACAGAATAAAAGATTAGAGAGAAGCAAAGAAACCATGGAAGAGTTAAAGGAAGAAAAGAATCAGTGTTTTGATGGGTTGATTCTTTGAGTGAGCACCTTTGGATGGCTGCTCCTGTACTCAAGCTCCCTGTTTCATTCTTTTACACACTGCAGGTCACACGTGGAATCCGCTGCGATGAGGTATGTTCTACAGAAGGGGCCAGGTGGGAAGAGCTCAAGGTCTTCCTCCAATCTTATGCAGCAGGAATGGGGTGGGGGGTAACACAGAGTCTTTGGTGGCAACCTGGAGTCAGATATAAAGAAGCTGGGGAGTATTTCTAAAACTGCATCCAGGTATGTAACAAAGAAGAATAAACGTGGCCACATACAAAACAATGAAGGAGGGATGTGAGACCCAGGTCCAGCAATTGTAAGCCCAGGTTTACAATGCAGTGTGGACACTCGTGTGGGCTTGGAAAGACCGAGTCCACTACTCCAGGTCCCACAGACCCGGGTTTACAATGCAGTGTAGACATGCCCTTGGCAATCCTGGACAAATCACTTAACCTTTCTGTGCTTCAGGCTCCCTACCTCTAAAAAAGTAGTAATAATACTTACCTACCTCACAGGAGTATCACGAAGCTATTTGTTTTAATGTTGGTAAAATGCTTTCAGATCCTTGGGTGGAAGGTGACAGAGAAGCCTAAAGTGATTTTATTATGAAGTGCCATTCTCTGATATGTATCAGTTAAATGTCAGACCCATAACATGTGTTTGCTAATGTACATTTCCTCTGGGACAATTCCTTTGCCCACCAATTGTATGTGGATTTTGAATGACTGTTGGGGAAATTGGAATCCGTAAAAGTAAAATACTGATGGTAAACCTCTGATGCACACACAATCCTGCTTCCCTATGTGTTATGTTACTTAAAGGGAAACTTTATCTTTATGCTATAGGCCAGTATTGTAAAATGATTAAGAAGCACAACCAATTTTATAAAATTCAATCAAAATAGCAATGAAAAAGTAGATTTCCAAAGCCACCCCTTGTGAGTGGGAAAAACTCCTGGGAAAAATCCAGAAAGCCCCTCACCTTATCTTCCTTCCAATCCCTCCCTTCAGATCAGCTGTGCCTCCTACAGAGCACTACCAGTTGAAAATGGTTTGGCTAGGTAGCGAGTTGAGATTCCCTGCTTAGGGTAAAACAGCTTGTGCTCCCCTTCCTTCTGTTCTGTCTCATTTACTTCCTGCACTTTGTCATAAACTAGGCCCTGATCCTGCAAACACTTATGCATGAGCTTGATTGCAAGGGCAATTCCATTGAAGTAAGTGACACTGTTCACATACATAAGTGTTTGCAGATGCAAGGCCCTACATTGTTAGCTTTTTGTGGCATGACTGTCTTTTACTGTGTCTGTACAGTCAGTGCAATGGGGTCCTGATCCTTGGCTGATGCCCCTAAGAAATACTATAGTACAAAATTAAAACTAATACTATAAACAAATGTTGCTATCTTTTATTATCAGAATGCATGTTGGAATCCATGTCTTTGCACAGAAATATAAATGTGAAAAACAGAACTATCCCAGATTTTGTTTAAATGAGCTCCTTAGTCATTTCTGCACCAGAAATTATAGATTCATAGATTCATAGATTCATAGATTCTAGGACTGGAAGGGACCTCGAGAGGTCATCGAGTCCAGTCCCCTGCCCGCATGGCAGGACCAAATACTGTCTAGACCATCCCCGATAGACATTTATCTAACCTACTCTTAAATATCTCCAGAGATGGATATTTAAAGCTCTTTTATGTTTGAAAAGCAGAACAGGATTCCTTGAAGCAATAAAAATAACACATCTATAGCATTTTACATCTTCAAAGCATTCTACAAACATCAGCTATGCCTCACAACCCCTGTGAGAAAGGTGGATCAGTATTATCATCTGCAGTTCGCACAAAGAGAAACTGAGGTGAAGCAACTTGATGAAACCACACATCAAGTGAGTTTCACAGCTGGGGTTATGTCACATGATTTCCTGACTCCCCTGCCAACACTGTGCTCAGTCCTCCAGGCTACTTGCTGTCAGGGACTCTGCATGCTGTTAATTGACCCCTTCTTGCAGGGGAAGATGCATCTGCAGTCATTTCCACAACTAGATCCACAGGTTGGAAATACATATTTGTGCATCACAGTCAATTTGGTAAAAACAGGGCAGCTGTAAAGACACAGACGTGTCCTGCCAAACAAAAGTTAACTGTGAGGATCTTTATGACTGTAGAAATGGTCAAATAATATTAGAATAATGCAGAGGTTCTCAAACTGGGGGTCATGAGGTTATTACATGGGGGTCACTGGCTGTCAGCCCCACACATGGCAGGTCTCTGGCTCTAAAGAAAGGGTATCAAAATAGAAGTTTGCCCAAGGTGCAATTTTCCCTAAGGCCAGTCCTGGGATTGAGACAACATTAGAGAGCTTGATTGTTCAGCAGCTGAAGAACTGCATTAAACCGCAGACCAATCAACATACTGAAAGCAGCCAGACTCACAGGCAGGGGTGATCCTGGGGAAGGCTTGCAGGGGCTATAGCCATCCCAAAATTTGACTTAGTGCACCCATAGCCACCCCTCCCAGCACAAAGCACAAACATTTTGCAGAAGTAAGAGTGGCGTGGTATGACATTGCCGCCTTTACTTCTGCATTTCTGTGCTGCTGCTGGAAGTGGCGCTGCCTTCAGATCTGGGCACCCAGCCAGCAGCCACCACTCTCTGGCCGCCCAGCTCTGAAGGCAGTGCCTGCCATCAGCAGCAGCGCAGAAGTAAGGGTGGCAATGGGGCGCTAAGTCTGCTGTGAACAGTGATATTGACAATGTTTCTTCGTCCCCCGCCCCCCAGTATTAAACAGTAACTATTTAACTCAAGAGGCTTGCTGTGTGAAAGTGGTCGCCCATACAAAAAGTTTGAGAACCAACTGGCATAATGGATTAGAATGACTTTCCTGCCATTTAAAAAAAAATATTTTTTTTATTTACTAAATAACATTTCTCCAGTTCTAACTTTAGTATGTTACCCTAGATCACTGCTGCCAAAGGGAGAGAAATAAAGTCATGTTTATCTAGGATATTTTTTCTTTTTTTCAGAGAAGAAGTCAATTTATAAGAACAGCAAAATACAACGGACCTCTAGCCATTTTGGAATGGGGTACATTCAGACTGGACATTTAACTACTGCTGTACCTGATCTCTGCATCAATGGAAGACCTTTGTCCACGGGGCTGTCTCACCAGCCCCAAATTCAATTTTTTGAAAAAGTGAACCGAGTAACTGATTACAGGAAAGGCTTTATAGTGTGCACAACCTACGGTTATTTCTGCACTCAACAGGGCTGGCTCCAGGCACCAGCTTAACAAGCAGGTGCTTGGGGCGGCCAAGGGAGAGGGGCGGCACCTGCGGCAATTCAGGGGCGGCAGGTCCCTCACTCCCTCTAGGAGTGAAGGACCTGCCGCTGCCGATCGCGGCTTTTTTTTTTTTTTTTTGCTTGGGGCGGCAGAAATGCTGGAGCCGGCCCTGGCACTCAAAAAACATTGTGCACTCATATCATGTGCCTGAGGGGAATGCATGATGGAAATACACATGAGATGGGCTTTGTTCATTAACAGGTCCTGTTTGGGCTATGATAAATATATGATTTTTTTTAAATGAATGGAATCAAAGGTGCCCCAAAACTAGAGATGAGTTCAAGCAATAATGTTCATTTGCATTGACATTGCAAGCACCTCAGAAATGGGGCTGAAGGGAGAGAAAATGGCAAGAGGGGTTGCTCAGCCCATTGCAAATATAGGGGCCATTTGCAAAATGTGGAGTAAGGTTTAGTTTTTGAACACCAGCATGATGCAAAAGCTACGGGTGTTCTGATCTGGGACCTCAATTCTGTACCTGAACTAGAAGTAATGGTAGAGAAAGGGGATTATTCATGTTCTTTCTTTATTATTTGTTAAGTGCCCTTGTTTTCATTTTTTATTTTATTTATTTTTTCCTGGGAATTTATCAGTGTTTATTACCACAACAACAAAAGGAGGTGAAAATCAGTATTCAGTAGATTAATGCTTTGAATTCCGATCATCAATGCGGTTTGCTGCAGAACTAAAACAGAACTCAAAACACAATGCCGCAATGTTTAAGAAAACAATATATTCCTAATCCCCAAATAAAACTTTTCATTTGAATAAACAGTTTATTGTTGTAGATTTAGAACTATTAGCCTATAAATATTTACATTTAATAATTGGGCCACACCATGTGCAGTGCGTACACTCATCTTCATCCTTTAAGCTGTGAGTCTAAACTTTGTAGTTCTGGCTCATCTCTACAGACACATAAATTCTACAATATCATATTTTAATCCAAGGCTTGATTGCTAAATCTGAATTTAGAGCCAGCTTCTGCTCTCAGTTACATCAGTCTGGAGTAATTCAATTGAAATCAGTGGAGTTCTCCAGTTCTGCACCAGAATTTGTCCTTTTACTCCACAGTGTTTTTAGTGGTGGTAGCCTGAAGCCCAAACTGGAAGCACTGTGTCTCAATAAGAAGGACTGACCACTTGTTCATGGGCATGCAGAACCATGGAAATGAAGGCCCCAATTCAGTAATGAACAGGAGCAGACTCAGTTGATCCTACATGGTTAAGCAAGAGCTGAATGAGGGTCTTAATGATCAATGCACATTCATTGCTTGGCCATATCATAACTGCACAGCTGTCATGCCAGTTTTTTGCGCATGTGAAGAAAAAATATGTTTACGGTGTCTAAAATCATGACAAAAACATTATTTGTTCTATACTCAGCGAACTGGGGGATTCCAAATATGTTAGTGAAACTAGTCACCATGGAGCTCTCTGCTTTGAAATACACCTCATCTTTCATTGCTCAGAATAAGGGAGAAATGCAGTTGAGACAAAGAAAAGAGCTATATTAGAATGATTTGCCTGGATTCCCAAGGTGTCTTTTATCCGATTCAATAGCAAATGCTGCTAATGAACTGCAATGTTAACACATCACCTAAAGCAGTAATGTGATACTTGTAAGTAATTTTGTGGGGGCGGGGGCGGGGGGGGGGGAGAGAATAAACCATTGTGTAGGGTATCTGTTAATTGATTTGCTTCCTTTAGCATCATTTTAATTAAGACTTCTGGTTTGGAACAGGAGAGAGGATGTGGTCATGGAGGGAAGCTGTACCTTTACTTATCTTTATGAACAACTCTTTCCTTCACACCCTTGCAGAACTGCACAGGAAAATGAGATGATAATAACAGGAAAAAAAGGACATTACAGTCAGTGAATGGGCAGGGTTGGGGAGTCAAGGTTAATAATATAGATCAGGCAAATTTAAAGGGCTGAAGAATAATGCTCTAGGGGAACATGGGCTAGGAATGAAAAATATATTATGGATGGAAGTTTCAAAAGCACTCAGGAGTGGCCTAGCTCTGCCATTGATTTCAATGGGAGCAATGCGAATGTATGATAACTCTTCCCCACTAACTCTGTCTCACAGGCGATGGGCATAATAGGCTGCCGCTACCCTGCCACCTGGGCCATGGTAGCCCCATCTGCGCTCCGCCTCTTCCCCTCCCTGCTCCACCCCTTCCCCGAGGCCTCCACCACTGCTTGGCAATTGAGCGTTTCCTCTCCTCCACTCCACCCCCCATCTCCAGAGGTCCCTGCCGCTCACCGCATCCTTGTGGGTGGTGGAGGCCTCACAGGGGCGGGGGGATGCAGGGGATGAGAGATGCGGAGAGCGCACCTGGTAGGGGCCTTGGGAGAAGGGGTGTGTGGAGGAGAGGAGGAATGCAACAAGCAGCGATGTGGGGTGGGGCAAGCGGCAGGGGCTGGCATGGAGTGTGAACGGGGCCACGGGTGGAAGAGGTGGGGGTCGAGCGAAGAAGATGTGGGACAGGGAGCTAGCCTACCCCAGGGGAAGCTTCACCTACCGCCCATGCTCTGCCTCTGTGCTGTCTACTTAGACTGCAAGTTCTTCAAAGCAAGGCTTGGCTTACTATGGGTCTATAACAGGGGTCGGCAACCTTTCAGAAGTGGTGTGCCAAGTCTTCATTTATTCACTCTAATTTAAGGTTTCACGTGCCAGTAATACATTTTAACATTTTTAGAAGGTCTCTTTCTATAAGTCTATAATATATAATTAAACTATTGTTGTATGTAAAGTAAATAAGGTTTTTAAAATGTTTAAGAAGCTTCATCTAAAATTAATTTAAAATGCAGAGCCCCCCCAGACTGGTGGCCAGGACCCGGGCAGTGTGAGTGCCACTGAAAATCAGCTCGCATGCCACCTTCAGCATGCGTGCCATAGGTTGCCTACCCCTGGTCTATAAAGTGCCTAGCACACGTTAGTGCACTATGGTCAACATTTTCAGAAGTGCTCATTAATTCTGTATTCTTCCGGAGGGCTCTTACCTTGCACCATTGAACTCAATGGGACCTCTGCCCACGATCAAGTCCTGTTTGTGTGCCCAACTTGAGCCACCTTGTGCCTAGTTTTCAGAGATGCTGAGCACCCAAAGCGCTCAGTGAAGTCATTGGAGTGACTCTGGATTTATACCAGTGAGAACGATTTCAGAATTGGCCCCCTGATACGCAGACAACTACATTCCCTATTTCCTACTGGACCATGCTCCTTACTCCTAGCAGCTGTACAGAGTAATGATGGATTGTCTCATTTAGATGAGAAAACAAACATTTACTTGTATGTCACCTACTAACAGTTAGGGTTTCGTATACACCATGCATTTTTAATGAGAGAAGTAAGCAATCAATACATTTAGTGACACCAGGGCCGGTGCAAGGAAGTTTTGCGCCCTAGGCGAAACTTCCACCTTGCCCCCCCTCCCCCGAGCCCCGCGGCAGCTCCCCACCCCCCCTCCGCCCTGCCCCCATGGCAGCTCCCCTCCCTGCCCTGAGGCGCCCCCCCGTTGCAGCTCCCCCCCCGGGGAGCCGTGCAGCAGCTCCCCACCCCAGCTCACTTCTGCTCCGCCTCCTCCCCGAGCACACCGCCCCTGCTCTAATTCTCCTCCCAGGCTTGCAGCGCCAAACAGCTGATTGGCGCTGCAAGCCTGGGAGGCGGGAGAAGTGGAGCGGCGACCGCGCGCTCAGGGAGGAACGCTGTAAAAAAAAAATTGGGGGCACCGCTTTTTGGTGCCCCCAAATCTTGACACCCTAGGCAACTGCCTAGTTCGCCTTAATGGTAGCACTGGCCTTGAGTGACACACAATTGTCCAGCAGCAGCTGGAATTGTTCACTAGACGGACAGAGAGAGAGAGAGTCAAATTCTGCTCCCAGTTACACCACTGTAAATCAGGAGTAATTGTTGAAGTCAATGGGCCTGACTGTGCTCTTACTCATACAGATATAAAATAGGAGTAATTACACAGAACTCACTGGAGTTGCATTGGTATAAAAGCAGTGGCAGTGAGACGGCAATCAGTCCCAGTGAATCAGGCCGCACTGGTATACGTCTGGTAACTGAGAGAAGAATCTTCTCCCATGTTTCCCAAACAGGACATATTGTGAAACATGTCAATAGGCAAAACAGTTGCCTCCTGGATATCCCTTAGCTGATCTCCGGCCCATAACTGGAGAATCAGGTCGCTTTAAATGTAGATGTCAGGAAACAAAAGTGCCCTTCACTAATCAAGTGCAACAGAACTAGACAATTACCAAAGATGGGACTCTGACTCACCAATGAAAAAAGGAAAAAATATAGCCAAAGGAAAATATATACCTACCACACCTGTATGGCACATAGGTAGAATACCTGAAGACATGAAACACATCCCAGAATACTAATTAAACAGGAGACTAAATCAGAGAAAGGTATGTGTGGTGATGGAACACCAGGTGTGGTTTTCTAAGAGCTACAGGGCACCTACAATTCCAGTGGGAGCTGTGAGGGTTCAGTATCTCTGAACCCTCCTTACACATGTACTGTTCTATCAGGAGGGAGTGAAATAAAAACAGGTTGCCCTTGACTATATCATACACAAGGCCATTACCTGCTCCAATTTGATATCTACATACTTATCTGCCCCCCCATTACCGTAGCATCTGAGCACCTTACCATCTTCAATGTAATTAACCTCCCAAGACCGTGGAGTGGCAGAGAAGTGTTCTCCCCATTTTATGGAGGGGGACACGAGGCACCGGGCAGATTAAATGATTTGTTCAAAGCCCCTCAGGGCACATACAGCAGAGTAGGGAAAAGAACCCCAGTCTTCTAAGCTCTAGGCTAGGGCCTTAACCACTACACAATCCTGCCTCTCTAATAGGGCTGCTTAGAGATCATTACCATGTTTTGTCTTACCTAATATACGCTCGTCAGATACCTTGAAATTAGACCCTATAATTCTCTTTTCATTCACAACGTC